CAAGAACAGTCCCAATCGGGGACTATTCAAGACTTTCTCCTAATGAGAAAGCCTTGAACGGGTATCTAGGCATATGATGATGCAAACATTCAACATATTATTGTAATTATTTATTCTTAAACAAGACACAACTTGTAATATCATGAACAAACTTTTATCAAATAGATAAATAGAAAGAAATATATATAGCTTCATAAAGTTTATAGTTCATACCAATATAACAAGTATAATGGATGTAATGTCTCGAACTTCCCACTTGAATAGCTAATAAACTTGTGCTTCACTACATATGAATCTACAAAAATAAAAAAATAAAACAACAAAATAAAAGTTAGTAATTTTGTCAAGAACTATAAAACAACCTAAAATTACACATTAAAACATACCAATTAATAATTACACATTAAAACATACTACCAAAATTCACCTAATTAAGTAACAAGGTTACTAATAATCTCTAATTTAATAAAAATTACCCATTAAAACTTATGAAAATTCAAATAAGTAACAAGGTCATAAAAGGTTCATTTGACAAAATTGGCTTGGTGGCTTTGTATTGACCAATACATAAAAGGGTCATTGTAACTCAGGTAAAATTAGTTCCAGAAATTGACAAAATTGTCTGATACAGCAATTGTTGCAGATCCGTGGACCAAGCATCAGTCTTTATCCTCACAATATTCTCCTTTCCAATCCAAATAAAACAACCATGAATTTTTGAAAGGCCACAACCCAAAGTTCATCAATGTGCACCTATATGACTGATCGTCTCATGCGTCTTGTTTTCGGTATACAAAACTTAAAGGCATTCAAATAAAACAACCTAAAATCCAGAAAAATTAGGGTAAACTATATTCAAAACTTAAAATTTAATTTGCCTAAACATTGTTCAAAATGCAAAATAAATTAAAACTAACCATAGGTGGAGGTGGAAAAGGAGAAGAGATGGTCGGTGGTGGAGGGACCGCAGTGTTGAGCGGCGGCGTGGCACAGTGGCGCGGCGGCGAGGGCGAGCAGGGCTGCTGTCTTGATGGAGCAGGGCTGATGAGGGAGAAGAGATGGTCGCTGCTTCTTGCGGCGAGGGCGAGCAGGGCTGCCGCGAAATTGGTGCGAACAGGTGGTGGAGGGGGTGCGCAAAGGTGGTGGTGGTGGAGGGTGGTGCGGTGGCGGTGGAGCAGGGCTGTTGTCTCGATGGAGCAGGGCTGATGAGGGAGAAGGTCGTTGTTTCTTGCGGCGAGGGCGAGCAGGACTGCCACGAAATTGGTGCGAACAGGTGGTGGAGAGGGTGCGCAGAGGTGGTGGAGGGTGGTGCGGTGGCGGTGGCTTTGTGATGGTAGGGTTCGTTGGAGAGTGAACTTAGTCGATTTAGCGGTGAATTTGTAAATGAAACAGGAAAAAGAAAGAGGAAAGAGAAGGAAGAAAAGAGGGAGGAAAGACGCGATTTTTTTTTAATATAATTAGTTATTGCCACCGGTTCAAAACCGGTGGCCTTTATCATTATTGCCACGGGTTTGGTTTGAACCGGTGGCAATGTGGTTTTGCCTCATCCCGCCAATTTATTAAGCCACCGGTTTTCAAAAACCGGTGGCCATTGAGCGGTGCCTTTTTCAATTTTTCTACTAGTGAAGGTTTAAGGGTGGCAGTAAACAATGGAGCTACAACATTATTCTTGGATCATAATTGGGTAATGGCTGGTCCTCTCCGTGCTGCTGCTATTAGTAATATACCTGATCAAATTGATGGTGCTATCGTTGAGGAGCTCTGGGATGAGGAAAGTGGCTGGAAGTGGGAGGTCTTCGCTGACCTGCTACCAACAGACATACTCCAATTGATTGAAGCACATGCGCTTTGAAAAGATCCAAGTATGGGTGCTTTGATGTATTGGGGTGGCTCGAATCATGGCAAATTCTCTATCAAATCTGCTATGGAAATTATCAGAAAAGATGACAATTTGGCTAATGACAACACTTGGAATTTGATCTGGAAATTGAAGGCTCGGCAACTCGCAATGGTCTTTATTTGGCTTGTTATGCACGACCGTATTATGACTAATGCAAATAGGTTCAAAAGAAGCATTACTAATGACCCTTGGTTCAAGACTTGCAGCACACATGAGGAGACAACCTTACATGCTGTGCGTGACTGTAAGGCTGCAAGGGAGGTTTGGAGGCAGGTGGGTGGTCCTGCCCATTCACCATCATTTTTTCAAGGCAATTTGAGGCAATGGATTGCAACTAATATCAGAGTTTAGAGTAGGAATGATCTTTCTTTGGAGATTTGGCCAACTTACTTCACTATTACTATTTGGTGGATTTGGCGTTGGAGAAACAATGTGGTTTTTTATAGTACTCAGGAAATCCCTTTTGATATCAATCAATTTTTGCTCGCCAGATTTGAGGAGGTTTGGAGAATCTTGGGGGATGATGCTACTAATGTGCAAAGGCCTGTGGCTGCAAGAAGGGAGGCATATATCAAATGGTAAGCTCCACCATCAGGCTGGCTAGCCTTAAACACTGATGGGGCTGCCAAGGGAGCTTTGGGGCCTGCAGGTGGAGGGGGATTAATTCGGGATAGCACAGGGTAGCTCCTCCATGGTTTCTCTATCAAGATAGGAGCTTGCAATACTTTTATGGTTGAACTAAATGCTGTTGAATATGACTTACAGTTAGCAAAAAGGATTAGGGCTGCTAAAATACAAGTCCAAATGGACAGTTAGAGTGTTCTGGCAGCTTTAAACAATGAAGAGGTTCATCGAGGACAGGGTTTTCACATCATTCAGAATTGCAAGAAGCTAATTGAAGAAGGTAATTAGAAAGTGCAACTTATTCACATCTACAGAGAAGCAAACAGAGCTGCGGATTGGCTAGCAAATCAAGGTATCGTCCAAAACAACAAAATAGAGTTGATTCAATTCCCTTCTATCGAGTTAGGACGTATCTTGCATGAAGACATTGTAGGAGTGGCTTTGCCACGTTTTATTTCTGTTTAGTCTTTTTTATTTCCCCGGGCTTGGCCCCTCGTGAGCAGCAAAAAAAATAAAATAAAATATATATATATGTAATTGTAATTTGTAATTGTTATTTATGCGTAATTGTTCAATTTGAATCCTTAGATTTCACGTACGTACTTTTTTTTTGGAATGTGATGCAAGGGAATGAAAACCATTGGAAGAGTGAGAAATAATAAAGTAAGAAAGAGTCACATATTAGTGGGTGAAGATATATTATTAAATTGTAAAAGATATCTAAAAATGGAACTCTAGCTTATACTAAAAATGGACGAAAATAGTAATATCTTATAAAAAAACAGATGGAGTATATTTTTCTCATTCTTCGTCCTCCGTCTTCTTACTCCTTTGTATTTTTTTTTGTGTCTTTGCTCGTGAACTACCATCTTCATAGTCCTCCTTTGTTTTCATCTTCTTTTCATCTTCATCTTCTTTGTCATCTACTCGTGATGAATCATCATTTTTATCACCATCAGTGAAAATCCTAAGAAAATGGAGAAATAAGTTTATAGTGAACCACAAAGGGTAGAGATTGTTTTCTTCCTCCATGAAGATGCTTGTGAGTTTCAATTTCTACATTGGAAATGTGATATCTCCATTAAAGGTCTTTGAATGCTATTGATGGGGGAAAGAGAATGGAAGAAGAAGAATTGACGCGCAAGAGATAATGTTAGTTAACATATGAATTTTACAATATTTATTTCAATTATAATATTCAAAATGATTCCCTTAAAAAAATTCAAAATGATAAAACATATGGAGTATTCTTTAAAATATGGAGTACCATCTTTTGTTTATCAATAAGAGAAACTTATAATTACCTATAAGGTAGTGACAATTGTTCAGTGATCGTCAATGACCCGACTCGAAAAAGTGTGGGTTTGGGCAATGCCAAAGATGATTTAGGGTTTTTTAGTTCACCTTATTTTTGCTTATATGAACTTATTTGATTTAGTCTGATATGATATGAACTTATGTGATCTGGTCTGGTCTGGTCTGATCTGATCTGATATGATATGATTTGACCAAACTTTGACTTTTAATGTACGATAGTCAGTAAGGAAACAATATATCATGTGAGGTGTTGTTAGATTTGTAATAATGTGTATTTTTTTTAAACAAGTAATAATGTGTATTTTTATTAATATGTAATTTCATAATTTTTTATTACAATATTAGAGATATTTAGCGATAAAAACCGCATATAAAACAATAATATGATTTGTACTTTCTGATCTGATCTGACCTGACCTGAAAATATTTAATCTGATATGAATTTATTTTTCTGAAATAAGTACGAGTAAAAATAAGTTGAATTAAACAAGTTTTTTGAGAGAAAACAAGTGTTATTAAGTTCAAAACCCAACAAAAAAAAAGGCCTGAATTGTCCGCTTTAATGGTTTAACCCAAGAAGCCTGACACTATTTTGCCATTTTGGACACAAGATTGTATGCATGGGCCTGGTCCAACCCGATTTCTGATCACCTCTACGTTAGGCCATAATTATACGGACTTTATAAAAGACGCATGAACCCATATGTGATATGTCCTTTCATTCTCCCTATTTCCCAATTCTCCATTGAAGCGCACTCCCCGAGCTTCCCCCAGTTAATATGTAATATTAACGTTATATGTTAATATGATGGCATTCTCGTTATTATTGTAACAACTCGCAATATTTTAATGTTTTTGGTGTTTGAAGCTGACATGGCAGAAAACTTGCGTCGTTGGTCCAAAGTTAACGCTGTTTCAATCCCGTTTTGTCTTGACACTTGGGAATCAAAAGAACCCGTTATCGAGTAATCTGGAGAAGAGCTTCAGCAATCTTCCCCTTCTTTGACCTCTTCTCCATTTTTCCTTTTTCGAGCTGGTACTCCCTTTGTCTCAGCGCGTGAGTGAGCGACTTACAAATTTGATGAGTGGAGTTCTCAACCCAACCTGAAAGTGCGTTCTTGGTGTTCTGAAGCTCCAGCTGACTGGTAAACTCTATAGCTTGAAAACCCTAGTATTTGCTAATCAATCAATTCTTTTTAAATTTTGCATTCGATGAGGTGGGATATTGCATTTTTAGAATTTAATTTATAATGTAGTTGATTGTATTGAATTTTATCCTTTATAATTGCAAAATTGAATTTGTAGTTTTCTAAAATAATTGGATTTCATTTGATTTTTGCAATTGTTGAGATGGGGTAACGCAATTGGTGAAGAAAAGTGTGTACTTGGATACTGTTGGTGTGATGTTAATTGTGTAATGAAAAATTTAGTTTGTTTTTGATATGAAATAGGAAATGGAATTATGAATTAGTAACAGGAACTATGTAAGTGAGGATTGCTGCAAGTTCTGTTCTTGATTTTGTTGATTGGTTGGTATTATTGATTGGAGGAGATTCCTGCTAGTTGTTTTCCTTGGTGTTGTTGATTGCTTCTGGCATGAGTAGTCATTTGTATGTTTATGAATCCTTTAGTCAGTGCTGGAATTATGTGGTATTTTCTCTTGTTTAGGTGGGTCTGTAGTGTTATTACCCCTATCATGTTGACTATAGATGTATGTCTATTGCTGGTTTTAGGAGTCTAATTTTAGGGAACTTCACTACTGATGTATGATGCAAAATGAGGGAACATATTGCAGGTGCTATTATGGATTGTGGTTTTGAATCTGGTGAAATGGGTGAGCCTGTTGGCATAGCATATAGTGTTGGTGGGGGGCAAGTGATTTCTTCTGGAGGTGAGCCTAATGGTCTACCCTCTCTGAACTGTATGTCACTGAAGATTCCCAACTCAGCTGAGAGACTAGCTTCCCTGTCACCGATTAAAACTGTTGAAACGGTGGAGACCATTGTATCAACAAATCAGGTTTGCATGTACATTTCTGTTGAGTCACCTAGGTTAGGGATGGTCTTCAAATCCTTTGAAGATGTATAAAGCTACTACAAAGAGTATGCTAAGTAGAAAGGTTTTGGGGTTACCCGTGTTGCATCATCATTTTCGAAGAAGGACAAGGAGCGGAGAGGGGCCACTTGGAGGTGTGAGTGTTGGGGTCCACCTGATATGAGGGCAAGGAGGGAGGCCAAGAAAAGGGCAAAGCTAATGGAATTATGTGGCACGGGAGGGATTGTTAACGGTGAAATAGGGGAAGATATCATGCAGCGGGCGAAAAGGACCTCCAAGAAATGCGAGTGTGGTGCCATGTTATATGCCGGGGTTGATAGTGATGGGCTGTGGGTTATTAGGAAATTGCAAAATGAGCATGATAACCACACCCCTAAGCCGAGTGATGCTAAGTTGGTTAAGGAATATCGAATGAAGAATTACACGTCAAATGTGAAGAAGAAACTTTTGAATTTCTATGAAGAAGGTGTCTCTGTAAGGCAAATTCATGGGTGTATGGCTACGGAGACCGGGGATGATAACCTTCCTAGTGTTAAGGACCTTGAGCATGAAGTATCTAAGGAAAAACGGCTGAAAATGGAAGGTGGTGATGCGGCTGCAATGATGGCATACTTTGATCGTATGCAAGAGGATAATCAGAACTTCTATCATGCACACCGCTTAGATGAAGAGGGCCGACTCAAGGATGTATTGTGGGTGGACGCCCGAAGTAGGGTGGCATACGAAGATTTTGGGGATGTTGTTTGTTTTGATGCAACTTATCTAACAAATTCGTACGCCCTACCCTTTGCCAACTTCGTAGGGGTTAACCACCATGGCCAGTCTATATTGTTGGGCTGCGCCCTTGTATCACATGAAGATTGTGACACATTCGGTTGGGTATTTAGGCAATGGATTTCTTGTATGGGCAATAAACAACCCGGGGCAATTTTGACAGATCAAGCAGCTGTTATGCGCAAGCCTTTAGCTCAAGTAATGCCGAATGCTCGACATCGTTGGTGCATTTGGCACATAATGAAGAAAATCCCGGATAAGCTTGGAAAATGTGAACAGTAAGTTCTCTGCTGCTGTTTTGCTGATTGCTGCTGTGTTAACTTGGAAAATGCAATTATATTTTTTCTTACCGCTGCAATTATATAACGCATAGCTTGTTGCTGCTGTGTAAAGGTTGTTCTAACTTGATGTAAGTTATGACATATACCTCTGACTATTGTTCTGTGGTACTGGTGTGTACTGAAGTCATTACAGCTAAACTTTACCCTTTGTCTTGATTATGTGCATTTTGTAAAATATAAATATTCAGTGTCATTTTCATATTTGTCATCCCTCAAAAACAGAGGTTTACATTTTCAAGTCATGTAATTTACTTTTTATGCTATTTAAGATATGTACTTGTAACTTTTTCATGATAATAAACTTGTACATTTTTTAGATACATCATCATTAAATGCAGATCTTTCCTAGTATGTAGCTGTGGAATGACCTGCATTAGATATGTTTTTTTCAACCTTATGTGTAATTGTGAGGAAGTCTTTTTTTTGTGTTTGTTTACCTGGTAGGATTAGACAACTGTCAAGTGAGTAACAAGTTTTGTAATTGATGCAGCTACCATGACTTTAAGAGCCCTCTAAAGGCTCTTGTGTATGAGAGCTTTACAGTTGCTGAGTTTGAGCGTCGTTGGATAAACTTTATCAAGCATTTTGAACTGGAGGATAATGACTGGTTAGCTGATTTGTTTGAGGAACGGCACATGTGGGTCCCAGCTTTTATGAAAGAACACTTCTGGGCCGGGATGAAGACAACACAGAGGGTCGAAAGCATAAATAGTTTCTTTGACGGGTTTGTGAATAGGAAGACAAAGCTTTACGAATTCCCAGATAAGTACACTAGGGTAATGGGAAGGCGTGTTAAAGCTGAAACTGATGCGGATGCTCGCTGTGGCAAATATTTGAGGCGGCTCGTGAGTGGTTTTTTTGTAGAACAATTCTTTCGGGACATCTACACCGACACTAAATTCCAGGAGATTCAAATAGAGTGTTGTAGACTTATGCATTGCTCTGGGAGGGAGGAGCGTGTGCTTGAAGGGAACATGTTTCAATACCTACTGGAAGATCGGGTTTGGATCATCCCAGAAGGGAAGAGCGAAGAAGAGATAACTGACAGGAGACGATTCTATTGTGTCCTTTACAACACAGTTACGAAGGACGTGTCCTGTGATTGCTGCAAGTTCGAAACCTTTGGTATTCTTTGTCGTCATATCATTCGAGTTTATGACCAAAATCGGGTGTTTGAAATTCCTTCAAAGTATGTACTCGACCAAAATCGGGTATCATTATTAATTAGGTATGGGCCCCTAGTGTTTCATTCCACTATGATTGAAAATCCATATGAATTAATTCCTCACTAAGAGTTTGAATTTTAGGGTTTGTAACTTAGTGGTATAATTATCAATCAGATTGTAAATTGTAAGATTTATTAAATAAATTTTAGTCAAATATGTGCTTTTACTATGTTCATGTCACTTAAATGCACAACAACTCTGCGAATCTGAATGAGTATTAGGGTTACAAATCTATGTTTACTAATTGCCTTATTTTGTATTTTGAACATAAAATCAGCCGGGTCCCGCAACTGATCCAACGGTTTGGTTACGGAACAGAGACAGTGACAGCGAAGGTAGGCCCGAGGATGAGAGTGATGACGATTATGATTACATTGGGGCATGGTTAGTGAATTCCGGCCTCGATGATGACCCTTCAATCCATGATGAAGGGTGGTGCTAGATGAAGACGGGGGGTGGTGCTTAATCAATGCAAGGATTACTTTAAATAGTTATGCTTAATCAATGCTAGGATTATTCTAAATTATTATGGTAGACATTAAAGTATGTTAGAACTTATTGTGTTGTGTCTTTTGTTGCTAAAACTTGCTTATGAATAGCCTTCTTATGTCTTGACTCGTTTAGTAATATGATTGTGATTAATTGCGGTGTGTGATTGATCTTAGTTTTTTTAAATGCTAAATGTAAGCAACAAGTGGCTTAACCTTTAATTGACTATAAACAAAATTAGTTTTAGTTAGTGTTAGTGAAAAATGATCATTAAATATTTTAAATTTTTCTTGAAAATGTATCATTAAAATAAAAAATTAAATAAAAAGTGAAATAATGTCAGAATCGTGAATCGTAAATCATCATTGTGGCTTAACCTTTATTTGACTATCAAATCTCATTGGTGACATGGGAAAATCTAGTATTAAATAATGGCTTACGAGGTAGTGTTGTTGTTATCGGTTTATAAACAATTAAACAATGAAACCCTCTTATTAGCCATAATTGCACATTATTAAATAAAATTTATATCATATAATGGACTATACTATCCATGTAAGGACACTGAATACATGTAAGGACAAAAACCCACCATTTTTCTTTCACCACAAACTAAGGTCAAACATGTGCACTCGAAAAAAGAAAACATTTTGGTAACTCCCTCCAAAATGCAATTCCCCCGCCAAAACTAGGTAGGGTTTACTTCATGGAGTGTTTATAAATAATTCCCTTGTCTGCATGTATATCCTCCTCCCAGCCACCTAAAAATATGGCCAAAAAAAAATTAATTCCTGTTATAAAAACAGAGAAATATTGTTCCAAAAACCTCTTCAGCATATCCATTTTGAAGGATGACACATCATAACTGTTCATCACTACCATGTTTTCTTCACCAGTATATTCCATTGCCTTCTCCCCTTTACATTCATCTGGGTAGATAGATCTACCACTTGCTTTCTCCCCTTTGAAATCATCTGGGTACAAAGACCCAGCATTCCGCACATTCGTCCACTTTTTTGAGGTGCTTTTTCGTGCTACCTTACTCTTGTAACGAACACTTGCACTGGCACTATAAAGAACCTGTTACATTGAACTACAAAATGAAAAAGTTGCATAGATCTACAAGCCATTGAACATTTATTATCTATTAAACTCCTAACCTTTTTATGGTGAGGAGGGGAGAATGTATGCAAGATATCATTTTCTGCCAGAAGCTTATAGAGGATGATAGATGGGAAGTTAAAATCAAACATGTGTATCATGAAGGCAATCGAGCGGCGGATTGGTTGGCCAACCACGAAGTAATTCAGGACTCTCAATTAGTATTCTTTAATGATGCTCCGACGGAGCTTGGTCGTATTTTAGAAGAGGATATTAGGGGCGTGGCTATGCCTCGTCTAATTCCTCCCTCGCTAGTTGAGTAGTTGGTTTTTGTTTTTTCGTTTTGCTGCTTTCTTTTTCTTGTTTTGTTTCTTTTCTTTCCTTGGTCTTTGTAACCTCATTTGGATCAAACATATATATATATATATATATATATATATATATATATTATATTACATCTTTCTCATCTCATGATCCCCACCCAAACCCACTATTACTTTTTTATTATATCTTTCCTCTTACATTCATTATTTTTCAATAAATTATTAACCCCACTATCTTTCTTTCACAATTTTTTAATACTCCAAATACCCCATTTACCTCTTATTTTATTTAAGTCAATTAAATTGCCTAAAACTATGTGCTGGTCAAACTGTAACATTTAAAAAAAAACACGGAGGGAGTAGTTTGAATTTTGACCAATTCAATGATAGTGATCACAATACAGTACGTCTTGTGTAAAGAGGTGTCAATTTGGATAACCGAATGGAGTTTGGGTCGGGTCTATTCGGGTCGGGTCTGTTCGGGTCAAAATTATTATTTTATCTCGGATCAAATCGAGTCAAATTCGGGTCATGGTCTGTCGAGTCGGGGTCGGATATGGGTCGGGTCAACTCCAGATTGTTTCATGTGTGGTTTGGATAAATTCGGATTGGGTTCAAAACGGGTTTAACCGGGTTAATTTTGGGTTGGATGAATTTGGGTCGGGATGATTTCAGTTTGGATAGATGATTTCAGTTCGGTTAAGTTCGATTCGGATGATAAGGTTGATCCTATGATTCATTAATTGGTCAATTTTGATTCAAATCCTTTTTGTGTTTGGTTGAATTTTAATCGAGATTACCCAATACATATCTCAATAAGGTTATTTTTAAACTAGAGTTATTATTGAGTTTTTACCTTATTCTTGGGTCAATATCAAGTCATTCATGTAATACCCCGTATTTTCATACGTATTTTCTAATTAATTAATTATGAATTATTTTATAAAAAGGGTATTTTAGTAAATTCATTAATAGGAGCCAAATAATATTTGAATTTTGGCGCCAAATATAAGTATTTAATCATTTAAATAATTAATTATTTTCGGATTTCTAAATTAATAATATAGGTTTAATTATCTTTTCCAAGGTCGGTCCATATTTTATTATACTAACTATTTCAAGAGAAAAATAAATAAAAATAATTGTGAAACGTGATTTGATCATGTTTTGAAGAGTGATTGTTATCACTTTAGTTTGTTAATTATTATATTTTAAATTAACCTCTAATTATCTTCTTCACTATCTCATTTTGTTCCTATCTTTCTTCTCCCAACCATATGTATATCCATTTAAATTTTCTTATCTTTTAACCCAACTATTAATCTAGACTTAATTTGATTCAAGTACCTTAACAACCCTAAAAACTTATCACATTTTCTAGTAATCATATCACACCTTAAGCTCTATCCTTTCTACACCCTCAACACTATAAATAGACCCCTAATTCTTCCCATTTATTCACACCAATTCTCTACTTTTCTTCTCCTCTTTTTACACAAATCATCCCGTTTATCTTTGAAGCCAATTTTCGGGCACTTCTGGTCAGTTTTTGGGTATTGGCGTTTCACTGAAGATTGTTCCTCGCGAAAAATGCTTGAGGTTAGGCTCAAGAATCACCCAATTCAGAGTTAAATCGAAGGAGTTATAGCCTCTGCAAGTTCTGCCTATTCTTTCCAACGCAAATCCAATTCTTCTCTTTTCCTTGGTTTCTTATCTTTTCTTATTCTCTTCACTTATTCAATTATTGTTATTGTTATTGTTATTGTTATTGTTATTGTTATTGTTATTGTTATTGTTATTGTTATTATTATTATTAAATAAATATCATGATTAGTTTTAATCATATTTTGAAAGGTTCATGTACATATAGTTGGGAGGTTTTAATTATTTGTGATTATTTGTTAACCTTATATTGATTAAAGTTATATTTATTTGTAGGGTGTGTTCAATCAAGGTTCTTGAGGTTCTTTTTGTGTGGTTTTTCTAGCAAGGATTAAGGTACGTTTAGGTGGCTAGATACCTTTGAAAGTAACTGGTTTGAAGGTATTTATTTTAATATAAGTATTTGAATGATTGATTTTTTTTTTATCATGTTTTAAATGGTTTGGATTACTTATTGTGTTTGAGTAATATTGGGACTATTGGATATTAAAAGGATTCATTGAACCATTAAATGCTTTATAAGCATGTTAGTAATCCCACTATGCGGATTTGGTTTATTGATAAGGCCTTGGACTTTGTATGACCGGGTCTTTCCTCAAGAATAGCCTTGTAATATAAAGAGACTAGTTTGGGGGTGTGCACACTTGGGTGAGGAATTGGATTAAAAGGAATTGGTTTTATTAACTATTATTTTGAATATTGAATCATTGGAATCGGTTTTGGAATAATGAGTTTTTAATTTATTGGATTAATTATTGGAATTGGTTTTAAAAGAATGATTGCAAATAATTTGAGTTTACACTATCTTGCACGTACTTTTCGTACTTAGCATATTTTGCTAATCTGTTTTCCTTTTTGTTTTGGTTCGCCCTGTTTACCATTTTGATAAGCCGTCCTGATTTCAGGTGTGAAGTTGTTCGTGCGCATACTAGAGTCGGGATTGGGATCATATAGTTAGGAATTAATTTTATTTATGTATAGACAAGTTTTTATTGGTTTATTTTGAAACAGTTATTATGGTTATTCATATTATAGATAAAAGTTAGTTATTTTTCCCTGCAATTTGAGTAATTTATAAAGCCTTACGTTTTCACGTGGCGGTAATACGCCCAAGTCTATCTCTACGGTATTTGTATACGTATAAGTTTAGTAATTACGTAGAGGGAGATTTGGGGGTGTTACAATTCATGTATCATTTTTTGATCGAGTTGAAAGTAGAGGTTTTAATGTTCAAGTATTACAAATTATTTGTAGCAAATTTTAGATGAGACGAATATAAAGCTTAGAAAGTAATTTTATATAATTGGTATGTACATAAAGAAAATAGTTAACTTATTAATAATTAGTAAATATTGTAGTATAATAACTTGAATAAAAAGGTCAATAATTAATTATGGTCGGGTTTAATTCAGATCGGGTAAAGTCAAATCGAGTTAAACTCCGGTCGGGTTAATATCAATTCGGGTCAAAACAAATCGGATTAGATCGAGTTGTGCTCGGGTCGGGTCAAATCGGTTCGGTTTGAGTTCAGGTCAGGTCAAATCGGATTCAGGTTGAGTTCAGGTCGGATCAAATCGGTGCTGGGT